TATGTTAGAAGTCATAATCCGCACATTATCTTTTAGGTTCTCTTGTTCAGATTCTGAATTCCTAATCATTTTCTCTTCATTTTTGTGTGCCATTGAGTCCATTTCCACTCATAGTGACCGTAAAGGACAGAGCAGCTTTCCCCTATAGGGTTTCCTAGACCTGTCTTATATGGTTGCTATGCATTGGAATCAACTCAATCAATGACAGTGGACTTTTAAATCCTTACAGCAGCAAATCACCAGGTCTCTTCTGCAGGGCTTTTAGCGGATCAAAACTCCAACCTTTGGGTTAGGAGCTGAGTCCTTACTCATTATGCCACCAGGGCACCTCACTTTCTATTTAGTACCTGCTTTTTCTATTTGTATCTTACTGAACCAGTGGTTGGAAAGTATGACTTCATTGTCTCCCTACTTACTTACCCAATTAGCAAGACATCAATATGTTATTTGTTCTAGTATACACATGTGCACACATACACACAAACACATTGTGCAACTCGTAAGAGAGGTGCTATCCTCCTCCTCTCCATTCATTTGCAGACAGATGGAATGATGCATGGAGAGATCAATTCACTCCCTTAGAACAAATCTATTGAGGGAAGGACATCTAAGTCCTTCAGGTCCCTGGTCTCTCTTGTGGACATGATCCCTCGTAGAGTGAGGTAAGAATTCAGGGGGTAGAGTGCTATGGGCTCCCCAACCAAGATTCCCACCTTACCCACAAATCAGTTTCCAATCTAACCTTTCCCTTGGGATTGAGTTACAAACCCCAGTAACCTCAGGACGGCCTGCATGGTAATTCCTATTATTCAGCTGTCAGCTGGTTTTTAAAAAACCTCCCTTCCCAGTGATCTAGTTACCTGCATTTTAGAGCCCATTCCTTGTCTCAGAGAGAAATCCTATAGCCAGGTGAAACAATGAAGAAGGCCTCCCTACCGCCCTACTTTCTAAGGGAGCTGGGTTTTCTCTGTTGAAATCAGCTAGCTTCTCCTTAACTCTTTGTATCCTCCCAGGTTGTTGGGGAAGGCCCCCCTCCCTCTCAACCCTCCGCTCAGAGCAACTTTGTCTTTCCCTGGGGAGCCTTCTAGAGCTAGTATCAGTCAGCACAGGAGAAAACAAATTGGAGCAAGAGGCAGGAAAGAGAGAGAGAGAGGGAATTCTCCAACATAACGGGTGCAGCAATGTACATTGATCCCTAACCCACTCAAAAGCTTAAGGTCGTCCGATGCTAGGGTACTGCTGTTAGTCTGGGGGTTCAGAAAATGTCCAGGTCTTCAGCTCAGCAGGTCTTGGCATTGCTGAGTCTACCCAGTGCTGAAAGGGGAGAAAGGGCACTGAGGGCGGGGTCTGCTTTGATGGTGATGAGAGGTGGAGAGTGAGGCTCCTGACCTCCCTGACCCCTTTATCCCTGACAATTTTCTCTGGCTCCTCCAGCTCAGAAAGCTGGGGCTGCTGTTTGACCTCAGAGGCTGAGAACAGAGGCCAAGCCATTACGGGGTGTCATTGGAAACCAGCCTGAGGGCACAGTATGGAAACGCATGGGACAGGAGGTCTTATAAAATACCTCACTGGAGAGTGTAGCTCTCCTCTATCTTGCAAGTTTCCCAGCTCACCATGATAACCCCTGCTGCTCCCCAGATTCATCAGGTCCTTATTCCCCTACAATGATGATTCTTAACCTTTATAGGGTTATAGACCCCACTGTGAATCTCTTGTAAACTAAGCCATTCCCTACACACACACACACACAGAGAGACACCCACAAAATGTTTGCAATGTACTTAAAAAAATTTAGCCCAGTTTCCGTGATTCACAGACCCTAAAGCAGAGGACTCTGGTGAATGCAGTGAGTATATGGATCCCAGGTAAAAATCCTCCTCTACCAGGTGACATCATAGTGTTGCTATGAGTTGAAACGAACTCAATGGCAATGGGGTTCCTTGTTTCCTTGCCTTATGGACCCAATTCCACCTTGCTAGGTTATGCTAAAGCAGACAGAGCTATAGTGACTTAGATGGATCAGTAGAGTTAGAATGATCTCCCCTGTGAGGCTTATGTTGCCCTAGAAGACAGATTTGGATATTCTTTATTCTTCAGTTCCACTTTGGCACCTTAGTAATGCCCATGGGTTCTACTGGGCAGCTTGAGGCACTGGTCCAGGTGGAAAGTCAATAAGAAGAAAATAATGGAAGAAAGGAGGATATGTGTGCTTGGCAAATAGTTAAGAGCTTTCCAAACCCCAAGGAGGCTGGGATCAGTCTCCTCCTCATCTCTCCACCATATGTGGCGTGAGTTCAAGGTCACCCTGACCAGTTCTGACACTTTCCTTTGGCCAAGCCTCCCAGTAAAATAATATACCTCCCTTTGGCTTCAAACACCTTTTGCTTGACATTTATCAATTCCTGGGGCATCAGGCTGCTGGCCAAACCTGACCCTCCCTCCTCTTTTTCCTCTTTGTCCATTGGGGACAAGATTTTCCTACTCTAGCAATCACAGTCCTCAATTTGCTTGGTTCACCCTTCTTACAGTGCTCTGTGTGTTAGGGAGCCACTGGGTAGGAAAAAGGAGACGTCAGGCTCCAATGGGTGGAGGGTCTCAGATGGACTAAACCCAAATGTGTCTAAGTCTACAACTCAGAGAGATCAGCTTGGTGGAGAAAGTACCATCAGTCTCCACCTGCCCTGTCAGGGGCGTAGGTTCCAGGACTGGTTCTCTCTCACTGATTCTTGGACCCTTCACTCCTTTATCCTAAATTTAGGTTTGGTGAAGTCATTCAAAGTCTGTAAAACCTCTGCTGGCTCCTCTTTGCCTCCTGAATAAAGTTCAGGTTCCTCAGCCTGACATTCCAAGGACACTTCTGTAATCTGACCTGAACCTACCTGGCCATGCCCACCCTTCCTAAACCCCAGTGTGCATCCAATGATCCAGCTTGCCCCTGCTTCTCAGGACGTGCTCTCCAGTCCAGCATCTTATTCTGCTACCTGCAAACCCTGCTGTTTACTCTGGTTTCCCTCACTGAAGAGACGCTGGGTGACACAGTTAATATGCTCAGCAGCTAATCAAGTCCACCCAGAGGCACTTTGCAAGAAAGGTCTGGTGATCTATTTCTAAGGAAGCAGCCACTGGAAACCAGACAGGCCACAGATCTACTCAGATACACATGGGGTGGCCAGGAGTCAGAATTGACTTGACAGCAGCTCATTTTTTACTTATTAAAAAATGTCTCCATCCTTCAAGGCCCTGCTGACAGCCATCTCCCTGAAGAAGACTCCCCCAAGTCTGCATGCGGAAATGTTTTACATCCTCCAGTAGTCATTATCTCTGGAATTAACAAGTTTTATGCTGCTTTCCATTATTTTACGAGCCCTAGTGGTAGTGGGTTAAGCATTGGGCTGCTAACCACAATGTCAGAAGTTCAGTCCACCATCTGCTCCACAGTACTTTTTGCTCCTGGTGTGGTGCTGTAGGATAAGCACTAGACCACGAAGATGGAGGTTCAAACGTATCAGCCCCTTCTCGGAAACCCTCTACAGGGTTGCTATGAGTCAGGACCGATTAGATGGCACTAACAACAACAAAGATTTACAACTTCATAAGCTCTACAAAAGGTCGCTATAAATCAGAATCCACTGGAAGACAGTGGGTTTGTTTGATTTTGTTTTCTACATTATATTCAGGTCTATCTCTCCAAGCGGATTGTATACTCCATTAGAACAGGCGCCAGGTCTTTGGCACCTAGTCCTGGTACCTAGCACAAACTAAGTGCTCAATAAAAGTTTGTGCAGTAGCCGACAGGCTCTCTTGCTGATAGGGCAGGTTCATAGGACATGTTGTCCTCCTGGCACACCATAAATAGGGTGCCAGCATTCTCTGTTTAGCCGTCTCTCCAACCAGATGCTCATTTTGCAACTGTCTTAGCCCAGTCAGTAAAAGAACATGAGAACTCCTTTGGATGTGTTTGATATAAATGTTGATCACTAACAGCGCCAGTAACAGCTTTGCACAGCTTTGGAGCTAGAATTTTGCTTTGACGGGTCAGACAGGTGAGAGGGCGCTTTGCCATCAGCTGAGAATCCAACAGGACCCGCGCCTTGCACCCATAGATCGCCTCCAGTCTTTTCTAGAAGCTCCCCGCCTCCTCCTACCCTGCCTTTCTGGACGTGTCTAATTATCCAGTCCATTCCCGAGAGAGAAAAGACTAAAGTCACTTTGGCGCCCCCTCTCCACCTTTTAACTGAGGGGACTCAGGGACTCTCGGGTATTTCCGGAGCCCTTGTTAGAACAGAATCGGTGTAGAAGAAGGAGTTCTAATTGCGGTTCTGGCGGAGGTCGGAACTTTGTTCGGTCCCTTGCAATGTTTCCAAGGAAAGATTCGCACATTTGTGACCGTCCCTGGCAGTTGCCCAGCCCGGGACTTTGGTCTTCACTCGTCATTGGCCAACCCTCAGAGTGACGCTCCGGGAGGCGGAGCCTCATCAGCTGTTTGCAGGATGCCCCGAGCGGCTGTATTTTGGAAACAATACCGCGCGGTGCCGAGTGGCCTCCTCCCGCGCCTGCCTGCGCCCACTGCTGCCGCCGCCCCTTCCCGCGCCTCCCGCTGCTGCCCGGTGAGCGCTCCGGCGGCTGGGGGCCGGGCGGAGTTGGATCGCACCTCCCTGGGGAAGTGGGGAGCGGAGTTGCGCTGCGCGTGGGGGCCTGAGAAGGGTTGGACTGTGGGTGTTTGGGGTGACCATGAAGGACTGGGACGGTGGGGTGCGGGAACGGGATGCACAACTCACATCTGGGTGCACTGCCCCAAGAAAGATCTGGAGGGTAGCATTTGGGACTCAGAGGAGTTGGGTCGTAGTGGGCTCAGGAGCCTGGGGTGCACTGCTGAGGGGACCAGGTCGCCCAAGAACCGCCTTACCTCTAGGTTTGACTTTGGGGTAGAGGCGCGAGTTGTAGGGTGCCTTGCCTCCTTGCGGAGTTTGAAGACTCCTCTTTTTAACAGCTAGGCTTTCCCCGTCCTTTCCGATCGAATCTGGGCGCTGAGCCCCCGAGTGCTCGTCACGCTGGACCCTGGCGCGGAGCCCTGGCATCTCGACTCGGAGCCCGAGACTCTCTCCTGGAGTCACCCAGGTCTGGGGTGTGTGTGTGTGTGTGTGTGTGTGTGTGTGTGTGCGTGTGTGTGCGCGCGCGCGCCGCAGATTTTAGCCACAGGCAAGGCTCGGAGAGTCTGGTCACTGCTTTCTCCTGGGAGAAGTCTTGATTCAGCATCCCTGTTAGAGCCCGTAGACGAAGTCTGGATCGCACCTTTACTAGGCATAAAACCTTACGGGGCGGTGGTCTCAGGAAGTGCCTTCCTCACACCAGTCTGGACATCACCACTTCAACTCAGGGGATAAGGCAAGAGACGGTCCCTTCTAAACTCTATTCCACGTTAAACTTGAGCTTGCCCAGCACTCCTCCCAACCTCCCACCACAGGAGAGCCACCTGTGGCGAGTGGAAGGGGTGGGGGTGGGGGTGTTTGCAGAGCCACGTCCTCTGACTGCACCTCCCCCACTGCCCAGTCCAGGCAAGGGTCTAACTTTGGGGCTTTGCTGAGAGGGAGAGGAGGAAGTGACAGGCTTCAAAGGGAAAAATCAGACAATGAGTCCTGCTTGTGATTGGCCTTTGGAGGGCCCCTAGTTAAGTTGTAGCGATCACTCTGGGCTTGGCAGCCTGTAGGGAGGAGGTTGAGGTTGAGAGAAGTCTGTGCCTGGTCAAAGGCAGGACAGCACTTGGTCCACTCCCGGGAAATTTTGTTTCCTGGTGCTGATGAACTGGAGTTGTCTCTCTTTTGAGAAACAACACGTGTCTACTTTGCCATCCGGTTGGACATCTCACTCTCCAGGGAAGAGGGTAAAGACAGGACCCTAGATAAGTCTGGGAGGGATAGTTGAGGCAAGTACTCTAGAGAGAGTCAGCTTTTGGGTGAATAGGATTTCTGAGTGACACTGAGAACCCTTTAGGGACTTCTCCAACCCAGTATTCTTCATAAGCAAGAAGAGACTGGAGAAAATCCCTAGAGATCTCTAAATTGAGTCTGACAATGACAAGCTATCTTTCCATGACCACAGAGGTGGTTTCTTCTTTTGGCCCCAGATGACCAAAGGGGTTCCTGGTGTGTGTGTTTAAGTTTGGAACACAAGATGCTGGGTGGCTCCAACCTCAGATTTCTAAGAGCAGAGAACTTCTTTATCACTGAGAAAGTCTTATCAACAACCTGAACAGTACAGTACAGGCAGCAAGTGAGGTCACAGAGAGAGAGCTGAATTTCACTTCCTTCTCTGAGGCAGGTTGTACCAATCTCAGGTTCATCATTAGCAAGAACAGCAGCTTATGGGACAGGGATTTGAAATCCTGAAGACTAGTGAGTTGATTGAGCTGGGGGGGTGGCTGGACACTTGGTCAGCTGCTGGACCTGTCCTCGAGGCCAACTTGTGAACACACAGCTCTGCTCTCTTTTCGAGGGCTCTAATGGCTAACTTAGGGTCTTTCTCCCTTCCCTCTCCTAGGCCATGCTCTTACCACACCCCTGAGCCTGTTTGTTGTGTTGAGTAAGCAGGGGGTGGAGAGTAGGTGGGCAGCAGGGTGGGGCTTAGCAGGTTTGGAGGGAAGCTGGCTGCAGGATTGCTGGCTTTTGTTATTGCTGTAGCGTCTAGAGTTCAGCTCAGATTGAGATGACAACTTGGTGGTTACTCCATAGGACAGTGTGTGTGTGTGTGTGTGTGTGTGTGTCCCAGGAGTCATAAAGGTTACAGCACCCTTCAGTGGCTCATAGACATTAGACCCCAATACCCTCTGTGACCCATCCCTGCTACTGCTCACAGTACTTGAGTCAAACTTTGTGACTGGCCTGGGTCAAAAGAGGCCAAGAGTACGGCTCAGGGAAGGAGTGTGGACAGTCCCAAAACATGAGGCAGTCCATACTTTAAGGAGCTCTGGTAGCATAGTGGTAACGAATCGGGCTCCTAACCTCAGGGTCAGCAGTTCGAAACTACCAACTGTTCGGCGGGAGAAAGATGAGGCTTTCTGCTCCCATAAAGATATACAGCCTCGGAAACCCTGTACAGGGTCTCTATGAGTCGGAACCGACTCCACGGCACATAACAGCAACAACATTACCCTTAGCAGTGCTTTACCTCCAGGGTAGTAGGCCATCCGTACCTGGCCCACCTCCTTCAGAGAAAAGGGGGAATAGGGAAGAAGAAAGAGAGGAAGGGCATCCTTCCAGGTATGGCCTGGGGGTGGGGGTCAACATCCCAGATGCCTGCATTTTCATGGACAGGGGAGATGGAGCCACCGCAGTGTGTGGAGGAGCTGGAGGATGATGTATTCCAATCAGAGGATGGGGAGCCTGTGACTCAGACTGGGGGCCTGCTCTCTGCTGCTGACCTGCTTGCCCAGAGCCAGCTGGACTGCTCCCTTAGTCGTCTTCAGCTCTTCCCTCTGACTCACTGCTGTGGCCCCGGACTTCGACCCACCAGCCAGGAAGACAAGGCTACTCAGACCCTCAGCCCAGCCTCCCCAAGCCAGGGTGTCATGCTGCCTTGTGGGGTGACCGAGGAACCCCAACGACTCTTTTATGGTGAGTGCTCTTAGCCTTAGAACTCCTCCCATAGAGGTTGGGGGGGAAGAGGGGACTTTCCCTCCCCAAACCTGCTCATTGCTATTTCCTTCCCCAAATTGAGCAGCAGAAGCAGTTCATTCCTCGACTCTTCCCTTCTGTCTCTCTGCTTGGTATTGCCCCTTCGACCCCCAAGAGGCCTAATTGCCCTGCCCCATCTTTTGGTTCTTGGGTCCCTTCTTGAGAGGATCCTTGGACCCATGATGTTTTCTTGGGCTGGAGAAAGGATATGGGGCTTGAGCATTTCCATCCTGTGCCTCTGGAGTGGCCCAGCCTTTCATGTTCTGGTGGAGATGTACCTCCCATAATGATTGATGGTGCCCTAAAGAAGACAGGGGTCTCTGTGATTGTTGCCACTGAAGGGGAAAACCCAGCCCCTTGGAGGGAAGGTTCCTCAAGGCAGAAGGTGGCCCCAGTTATCACTTGGGACTTTCTGTGCTTGGAAGAGGAACTGGAGAAAGAGGTCAGGCCTGCCTGGGCTCTATGCCAGCAGAGGGGCTCTTTCCAAGTCTAAATCAGACAAACCCCCTTCATTTGTGGGCTTAAATAACTTGTTTTATGAGACATATACCCTCTTCTGGCAAAAGGGCAGGACTAGACAATCTGTTTTCTTCATTTAATACAATAGCTTTTGGAGGGAAGGGGAAAGGTTCGGAGGCTATCTTACACTGCGATTGACGGCACAGAGTAAGGAGATGCTGCGGTTATTCCCAAAGGGAGCTTCTCTGAAGGGCAGTTCTGGCCAAGTGATTCTGGCAAGAGTCTGAAAAGTTGGATGAGATTTAGGAGGCGGGCAGGCGGGCGCCCCTAGTGGCAGCTCTGTTGCCAGCACTCTGTAAGTAAGTGTGGAGATGCTGGTCTAGAGGTCTCACCTTGGTTGCCTTCAGAGGAACCAGGCTGTTTCGTGGGTCTGATGATTTTTCTCTCCTGAGTTTTTGTGCTGTTTCCCAGAGCTTCTGGAGCTGACAGCAGCATTCGTCTGCTACACTGAAAAAAAATGAAGATAAGTTTTGGTCTTCTCTTTCTTTGTCTTTTCTTTATTCAACCCAGGAGCTCTAGAGACTTGCCTCCAGGGCTTTTCTAGAGGAGAGTTTCAGCCGGTTACTACTGGAATGTTAAATTGTGGTCAAGTGCAGCCTGGTAAATAGGACAGAAGGTTGGCAAGTTCACCCACATTTATTACTACCCTGGTCTTTGCCACAGCACTAAAGGGGAGTCTGGGATATGCTCTTCCTTCCCATCCTCAAAGTTTAAACACTTGGGCAGCAGGCAAGTCAGGCTGTCTGAGCTTGGCAGCGTGCCCTGATGAAGGCAGGCTGGCTTCCTCTCCCTTCCTGTGTTAGGGCTTACCTTGGCCCTGAGTCTCAGCCCCTAGTGGAGTGTAGCCTATGGGGGAGGATGGGAGAGTTGTGGAGAGTACCGAGACGTGGACCCTTTGTCTTTTGCAGGCAATGCTGGCTACCGGCTCCCTCTCCCTGCCAGTTTCCCTGCAGGTTTGCCACCTGGGGAGCAGCCCCCTGAAGGGGAGTGGCAACATCGAGCAGAGGTACAGATTGCCCGGAAACTTCAGTGCATTGCAGACCAGTTCCACCGGCTTCATATACAGCGGGTAGGCATGGAAGTGGAGGGGGGTGGTGGCGCTGCATGTCTCTGCCCTCTTGTCAGCAACTGTGTCTCTGCCAGGCCTCAAGGCCAGGAACCCAGAGTTTTGGCCTTGGCTTTTGTGATTCCCAGGGACTGGATGGGCATGACTGGATGTATGCTCTTGCTGTCATATTCTGAGCTCCAAGTTGGTTATCTGCCCATTCTTAGCTTGGGCACTACAGGAGTGAGATGCTGGGAGAGGCTGTGATTGCTTGACATTCTGCACACTAGATTGACAGACTGTGTCTTCTCAAGGCCAGGGGCAATTGTCACTCACAGACCTAAGGGGGAAGATTTAGAGTGCTGTGGTGGGACTGGACAGTGAGAGTAGGGGGTTGTTGCCTGGCTAAGGTGCAGCGGGAAGCGGGTAGCCAAGTGGAGGGATGAGGCCTGAGTGGGGGAAAGTAGTGGAACCGGTTGTAACCTGACACTTTCCAGCTGGGGAGGCCACTCCTGACTGTCTCTGTCTGGGAACTGGGGCCTGGGACTCTGGAGAGTGTACCTCCGAAAGTCTCTTCAGACCAGCGGGTGGCCAGCGCTGCCGGGCGCTTGGCCGGTGTTTGGCCAGCAGCCTGGCACCAACCCCGCCAGGGTGGAGCATCGCGTGTCAGCCGAGCATGTGGCAGAGTCCATCAACAAAGGCGGCGGCTGGCAGGCTCGTGCTGGAGGAGCCTTCTGTGCCACAGGCTGGAGGCTGCCCGGCTCTGCAGCCGCTGTTGCAGTTGGAGCTGGGCTCCAGGCACTTAACCCTTCCTCTCCTGGCTGGCTTTCTGGATGACTGCCAAGGCAGAGAGAGGAGCCCAGAACTGGATCCCTACTAGGACAACCACTGCTGAAGTAAAGGCACTAATATTCCCCATCTCTGAGACTTGTGCCCCTTGCCCAGCCACCTGTGCCTCAGTCTAACAATGAATAACTCCCCATGACAGAGCAAACCTGAGGTGATCCAAGGACAGTGGATTCTTGCCTTTCATGCAGGAGATCTGAGTTAATTTCCTTACCCATATACCTCATGCACAGCCACCACTGTTCTGTCAGTGGAGGCTTTAGTGTTGCTGGGATGCTGAGCAGGTTGCAGCAGAACTTTTAGACTAAGACAGACTAGGAAGAAAGGCCTGGCAATCTGGATCCACAGTTTAGCCAATGAAAACTATGGATCACATCAGTCTAATCTGCAACCAGTTGCAGAGATGGTGCAGGACTGAGTAATATTTATTTCTGTTGTGCACGGGGTCACCATGCATTGGGGAGGAGGGCAGCTCAATGACAGTTAACATCATTAACAACAACAAGGGCCAAACCATTGTTACACTTTGGGTTTCCTGAGAACAGGCCATCAGGGGTTTGATGTGGTTGGTGCCCTCTGCTAAGGAGCTTTGAGGGAAGTATGCAGGAAAGGAGTAGAGCTGTCTTTGTGATCAGGAAGGGAGGGCAGCCCTATGCTTAGATCAAAAGGTAGCCTGGCTTCCTCTGGCCCCAAACTCCAGTCCCTCTTACCTTCTTTGAGTATTATATAGAAAGTTGGTTTAGAGTTTACCTTTCAGTCTATGTGTGGACCCACTCTAATTCTTGGTTTCATTTTCTTGACCTTCTTTCTGCCTATTCACACTCCACTCCAGTTATTCATGCTTGTGACTGAGCCCAGCTCAGATCTAATGGCAGGACACAGTGGCTGTGGGTCTTCTAGATGCATCTCAGCTGTCTGGAAGGCAGCTTTTTTCATTTGCAGTGATCTGATCTCTCACAACAGTTGTTTCTCAGAATCTCCCCCCACCCTTTGGGGAGCCCCTACAGGCTAGAGAGCAGGCTGGGAGGCCTCCCTTACCCAGCTGTCACCTGACTCAGGACTAGAACATAACCCAAGGGGCTTTCTTCCTGATTCCTGGACAGGATGAAGAGACCTGACCCCACTCTTTGCTGTTTGGCATGTTTCACCCAGTTCTGGATTGCTTCTTTGAAGGCCTGGAACCCAGCTGATAGTCTTGCTGTTTTGCTCTAGAGGGGTTGCTGTCCTCTTGGCCAGAGCCATTCCAGATGGGGAAAAGGAAGGGCAGAGCAGGCAAAGCTGGGTCAAACTTACACAAAACTCTCCCCTTCCCTGCTTCTCACCTCACACTGGCTCCTGAGAGCCCTGTGCCCCCACCCTTCTGCCATCTATCTACTTCTCCCACCCTGTAGTAATGGGAGGCTAGCCCTTGGGCCTTTGTAAGCTAAAGAGCTGACTTTCTCAAATTTTCCATGACAAAGACCTAGGCCTTTTTATCTACTCCTTGAGAATTCTCCTTGCTGTTAGCACTCTTCTTCACTAGTTACTCATGGACTTTAGCAGGAGCTCATATTGCTATATAAGCAATGAAGCACGGGTGTTCTCTTTCTAGGACCTTTAGCAACTAGTTTTAAGAAGTGAGTCATTTTCTGAAATTGACACTTACATAAATTATCTCCTGATCTTTCCTATCTAGAAAGTATTGCTGTCACTCCTACATTCTTGCATCTCCTTCATGTTCTTTACCTGTCCCCCTCCCTCATCTTTGTAGGGAAACTGAGGCACTAGGAAGGAAGTTGGTTGACTGTTGAATCTAGGCTTTGGATACAGAGTCAGAAGACCCAGGTTTAGATCCCAGTTCTACTGCTTGCTAGCCATCGAGAAGTCACTTGACGTCACTGAGCCTATTTCCTCTTCTGTAAATTGGAGCTGATGCCACATAATCATATTGTGAAAATTGAGTGGTAGAATACTTACGAAAGTTCCAGGCACGTAGTTAACCAGTGCTATTGAGTTGATTCTGAGTCATGGTGGCCCTCTGTGTGTTAGTAGAACTGTTGAGAAGTAGATCACCAGCGCTTTCTTCCAAGGTGCCTCCAGATGAACTTGAACTGCTAGTAGAGTGCATTAACTGTTGGCACTTCAGGCACACAGTATATTTTCCTCCATGTGTGGTTCTCTTTGGTGATAATATTTCTGATCATACCCTATATTTGTTCTCGCCTGGTCACAATTCATTTCCTACCCACCTGAGCAGAGCTGCCTCCCCTGAGCTCCCTTCCACCTTCCCTGTCCAGAGAAATTTGTGTCCAGAAGAAATTTGTGTTCAGTTGTAGGCCCTGGCTGCACAAGGGTTCTTTTTTTGTTCTTTTCTCTTTAGAGGATGGTGGTAACTCCCCATCCTTTTAGGCTAAGTTAGAGAGCTGAGAGAGATAACCCAAGAAATTAGAAAATTGAGGAGGCCCGGCTATCATCTTTCTCCTTAGTTCTGGGACAGTGTCCTGGGACCAGACAGTGGCCATTGACCCATGGGTCTTGTAGAGGATGTGAGCTCCTGATTATAGTCCCTGGATATGGATCTGTTCTTCTTCTGTGCCAGGGGAAACCTCCCTAGCAGATGTGGAGTGGAGGTGGGGAGGGCACGATGAGGGGGTAGTATGTTATAGATCAGCATATGGCAAACTGAGTGTATCAAAATCACACCAGATGCAATAGGTTCCAAATCCCCCTGGATGTCAGTTTACGTAGGCCAGAAGTTCTCTAAACATATTTCCCTGGGTGGAGGGCTAGCTTGGCTACCCAAGTGATCAGTTCTGGGTGGTTCTTCTGGACCAATAGAAACTGGAGGCAGAAGATTAGAGTCAGTGAGCTGTTTGCTGTTGGCTCTTTGGGTCTCCAAAGCAGCGAGCGGGTTGAAAGCAGAGTGAATGAAGTCAAAGTATATTAAATCTCATTGCACACCCCAACCTTCCTTTGGATCAGAAGTAGGGTTTCCCTCTGCTGCTGTGTGGGCTGACCAGCTGTAATAGGCAACCCTCAGTGGCTGAGCCCCATCCTTGACTCTGGCTCTGCTAGGGTGGTTCCCTGTTGTTTGTGAATCCACCCATCTTCTGCATGCAAGGATGGGTACAGGCTGGCTTCCTAGCCATGTTCACAGGCTGCTTTGGCCAGAAAAGTCTGAGTTCTAACTTCTCTCCATTCCCTCCTCCATGGTCTTAAGAAGGGGCAATTGCTGGTACCCCTCTCCTTGGGAAAGTCTCCTGTCCCAGTGGCATCATCTTGAAATGTATGGAAGTATTTCTGGGCAACTCTTAGAACCTAAGAATCCTTAAAAAAAAAAAAAAAAAAAAGTTACCATAGACTACTGAGTGAGTAAAGCTATAGGAGTGTTGGAATTCTTCATTCCTTTGTACTTGGACCAGGAGTAGCTCCATTGAGAACAGTCAGATTTGGAAATTTCCTGAATTGTAATTTAAAGGTTTGGTAAATTAAATCTGAGAGAAATATCAGCCACTCAATTTAAGCCATGTTTAGTGACAATATCACAAAACAAACAATCTGGATCAAGGCAGAGCTAAGTTAAAAAAAAAAAAAAAAATCCCAGCTCTGCCACTTACAAGTTTTGTGTTCATGAGCAAATCAATTCATCTCTCTCAGTCTCAGTTGCAGAGTTGATGGGAAAGCCCTTTGTACATTGTAATGCATCTTAATTACTAAGACCTGGACAATTTGTCACTTCTTGGACCTGGCTTTGTAGTTCTTGAGGAGCTTTTCTGGAAGCTTCATTCAAGTTGCTGTTAGTGTGGTTGATTAACTCTGCAACTTGTCTACTCAGGAGCCTGGATTCTTTGTTCAGACAGCCCCTGACTGCATCCTGGCTCATTGGGATGTTCTCCTTGTCCGTGATCGGTTTTCTGAAGCTCAGACGGTGGCTGATAAGGTTGTTTGGTCTCTAAATGCAGCAGCACTGGGTAGGGCCTCCCAGAGATTCTCCCAAGAGTGAGAAGGGCTCTAGGCAGCCAGCCTCTGTCCCAAGAGTAGTGGTCCACCTAGGATAGTGCCAGGGGACAAATGAGGGCGGGAGAGGGCCTGACAAGAGAGGGTATGCGTGAGAGCATGTGCCGGGGCTCCTGGCCCTGTGTTTGCTCTGTGGCTGGCTCTGTTTATATCGCTCGCTATATTTAGCTCTGAGTCATCAG